ACGGAGGGAGGGAAATACAAAGTACGTTTTCTGGTGGGGGAGGGTTTTTGTTGGGTGGTTCCGATAACACTGGAACTAGATTATTCCGCCAAATGGAAAATGTAGAAAAAAGTACTTTTGCGATTTTTGGAGTTTATTTTTGCAAAATATTTTTTTTAATTGTTATGGGTGTCAAAGTCTGTTATGTTTAGTTTATATAATTAGAAGTAATCATTTCTCATTTAAAGTTGAAAAGTTTTTTGAATAATTAAAATAAAAAAAACTTTCATAAATATAAAATATTTTATAAATTAATGAAAAAAATTAAATTAATTAACATAAAATATTAATTAAAAAAGAGCGTAGAACATTTTTTATCTATCTTCTCATCGTTCTTAAGTAGATAATATTATCTTCTAATTTTTTGTGATACTGATCTCATAAAAAATTTTGAGAAATTTCTTTTAATTTGTTGGATTACATAAGGTAAGCAAAGTGTACTCCATTTTGCTAGTTTGGATTAATTGAATATTAGTTTTAAAATTATTTAGCTTATAATTAACTTCTTTTTTTTTTTATAGAATTACTTGTTATCAATTTTTTGTAAAAGCATGCAAATAGTGAGATAATTATTGAAAACAGTTTATGGAATATTGCCTACCCTGGTGAAGTAAAGCACACACCCTACTCTACTTTGGGAAAGCGATTGAGCTCATATTATCGCCTGTGCTCAAAGTAGAGGGTCTGTACCATTAACAGGACCGCCATCAATCTGTGATTCACTCACATGAATGCTCTTACTCATGGTTTAGTGTGTAAGCCACCCCATGTCGGTGTGTTGATCATTCTAAATTAATGTTAATTAATCATCATAATTATATTTAGAAATTATAATTAATATAATTTTTTTTGAAATTTTATTGTTTTCCTTATCTACGATCCTTGCTATTTATTGACATCAAAATCATTTTGACCGTCACCAAACACAAAAAATAATTAAAAAAAAGGAAAAAATGTGACAGTTACCTTTGTCATTCAATTAGATTCTGCATTACTCTAATAGTTTAGAGAGATTAAAAAACTCATTATGTCTCAATCATTATATATAGTTTTTCAACAGACAAAAAGACCTATAGTGGGACGGGATTAGCAAAGGGTGTAATAGAAATTAATTACAAGCACGACACACATGAATATTTCCTATTCCCTATGTGATAAAAAGGCGTATTTGGCTTTTAGGTGCGCGGTCACAGTACACAACGTAGCATTATACACTAAGCAGCGCATCTCTGTCGCAGTGGTTGGGTCAAAGTGGGCGTAGTTTGTAGTGTAACGGCAACTGCCTATACAAAACAAAAAGGGCGTAAAGGAGGAGCGAAGATTGCGTCGTTTGTGGGAAACGTATCTGTGTAACAGCGGCTACTGATAGGGCAAAGTTGTTACGATTGGACTGTGTCTGGTGGCTGGGGTTTATTTACGTTACATTTGATTTAGCTGTTTAGTCAAGATTACGTTTCCGTTGTCCGTCGGGAATAAATGTCTCACAGATATGTGATTAGAGCTTCCCAAGAATTGAAAGATCTTTCTCCTTCCTTTTAATACACTGCATTAAAATTGGCCAAAAGTACAAAACAAATTAAAGAAATTTGAACTGTAACTAGGTTAAAATTTAATGTCAAATACGAAGTACATATACTTATTTCTTTCCCATTTTTCTTCATAAAAATGATTGGCTGATTGGGTTATAACATAGTAGGTTTAACTCTCTAATTCCTTAACTCAATTCATTGTAGTACATCAGAAGATTTGGATACCAAACATTACAAAGATAATTGATTAGTGTCTAGAATGAGTAATATTAGCTGTTTTTCTCATTCTTTTTTACGCCAATGGCATGCCTATACATGGAACTCTAAACTTCTTTAGACAATTATCACCAAATAATATGGCCCTCGATTCTTCCTTTTAAAGGGAGAAACAAACATGTCCATGAATTCATCGAGTACAGAATTCGCTTAGGTACAACCCTTCACTATCAACCTCTTAAAACTCTCATTCATGTATATATGTATCTTACCTTACCAGCCTGCAGCAACGAGCATAAAAGGATAATCTTAACGTTGCAATATTGAGAAAGCGTAGATAAATATCTTGTAGGGTTCATGTATGGTTTTCTTTCCCCTAAGAAATGCCAAAGCAGCCAATCTAACTAATGGGATATTGACCGTCGCTACTAAGGACGGTTCAATAAATTTAAAAACTTAAAGCAAAATATTCGATGAAATCTTTTTTTATTGATATTAAAAAAATTATTAAATTTTTATTCTTTTAACTTTTTGAAATGTACACAATTTTTATATTTTTTAAATGATTAATGCAAAATTAACAATCAAAATTTTTAACTTAACATAAAATAAAAATAATATAATA